GGTGGTTCTGCTTGTGCATCACCTTTTGTTTTGTTTTTTCTTCCGCAGACACGACTGTCCTTGTGGATACAGATCTTCCACTTCTCAAAGGCCTCTATGTACTGGGGACTTTAGAATTCCCTGTGGACAGAAGCAACGTGTTGAGTATAGCCTGCATGGTCATTGCAGGCGGTGAGCTGAAAGTTGGTGAGTAAGGGGCATAAGGATTAAGCATTTGGGAATTATCAAGTGGATTGCTTAATGGGCTTGGAGAGGGCTAAGACAAGGAATGAGTTTGCTACTAAAACTTTTCATAGGCAAGCGATAGATGTAGGGAGAGTAGACTTTTATTGCTCATCCTCAAGTACAACCTGTGATCATAGCACATCATCAGATGATTGTCATCAGACCATGTTTTGAGCCTTCGGGTCTTTATGTTGTGGTTCATTCCAGGATTCTCTTTGTTTCCTCTGGGCTGCAGATTGGTTTTCCCTCTGGTTTTCCATATCAGAATTTACTAGTGGCTCCCTCTGTCAGGAGGCATCATCATTTGTGTTGAATTTGAAATCCTCTGATCAATGAACTTAAAATATAATTTAATCTCCCTTCACCTAGTTCCTCAGAAAAACAGAACGTAGAGCAAAGCTTCTGTTGGGATGCTTTATTAGAACAAATAAACCCAGAGAAGAAACCATGGGAGAAGGAAGCAAGGGAGGAAAGGAGGACCAGAAAGCAGAAGGTGGCCACAGCATCCCAAGAAGACACGGCAGTTCAATTTTACAGGAGATGCCTAGGGAAGAACCGTCTTGAGGTTCTACTATGGGGTGGGAGGTGCAAGAGAAGGGCAAGTAATTCATCTGCCCCATCTGTTCAATCTTTCTCTCTTGATTTAAACCTCCTCCAAAAAATGTTCTTGCTGTTGTTAATGTTTCCTAGCTCCCCAGGCAACTCATGAAGGGATCAGAGTCAGTGCGTGCTCGGGGATGAGGCTCAAGCAGCTGGGAAGGGAGGCATTAGCTGATACCCTGCGGCAGACAGGGTGAATGGATCTAGACATTGTATTAACCAAGTCTGTTAAAATAGCTAACTCAATAATAAAAATGTATATATTTGGGGTATATATTATGCAATGGTTCTAAGTTATAAGTATGTAACACTGACAAAACCTATAACCAGTCTCTAAAAGAACTAAATCTGAACAGAATAGGACATTCTGATGATCTCTAACAAGACTAAAAGAGAATGCCTATAAACCTTTCCTTGAAACCTGTCATAAAGAAATACATTTCTGATGATGAGATCAGGTAATAATATTTAGATATTATTCAGTGGCATGAAAATTTTAGAATCTCTGATAAGAGGGAATTTTAGGCAACTACTGTCCATTGTGAGGATGGTGCAGGAGCATACAGTGTTTCTGTTGTGCACACAGTCACTATGTGTCGGAACCGACTGGATGGTACCTAATGACATGACAACTCGTCACACCCTACATCACAGTAAGAAGATGCCTAAAATATTATCCAACATCTGAAATACTTCCAGTGACAGGAAAACAAACAAAACAAACACCCTTTAGGACAACTTGTTCCCATGATTTGAAATCACACTGGGATTGTTTTCCTCATACTAAGCCAACACCTGTCTTTCTCTAATTATTGTGGGTGCATGTTTTGTCACTTAAACTATATAGGCCTTTAACTCCCCTCCTTTAGATACCACCCCCTTCACTTCTTGGAAGCTCTCCTTCCTTGCTTATTTGGTTCCTGTCATTTTAACCATAGTTCATAATTAGTATTTATTTTTTTAAAAACTGAGTTTTAATTCTTTAGTAATATACACAACTTGATAATCTATAAAAGCTTGTGGTATGTTGGCTTTAGGGGCTGTCAAATCAGTTTTCACTCAGCCACTCTGTGCACCGTGGAAAGAAATACTGCCTACTTCTGCACCAGCCTCAAAATGGTTATGTTTGAGCCATTGTTGCAACCACTGTGGTCATTCATCTCATTGAGCATTGTCTTCTTTTCTTGTTGAAGATCTACTTCATCAAATATGATGCCCCACTCTAGGACCCTCCTTATAACTTGTCAAGGTGAAGTTTTCACTTCTAAGGAGCAATCTCACTGTACTTCTTCTAAAATGAATATCTCCATTCTTCTGGCATTCTGTGGTATAGTCAGTATTCTGCACCAGCACCAGGAAAATGCATACCTTTTTCTCAGGTATTCCTTGTTCATTGTCCAGCGTCTGCATGTGTATGGGGCAATTGAAAGTACCATGGCTCAGGTCAGGTGCATCTTAGTCCTCAGCGTGACACCTGCATTATTTTACACTTAAAGCAGGCTCTCTGCAACAGGTTTGCCCTGAGCAGTGAGCTTTTTGATTTCTTGACTGCTGATTTTATGAGCATTGATTAGAAATCCAAGTAAAATGAAATCTTTGACAACTTCAATCTTTTCTCTGTATAGTAGGATGTTGTTTGTTCATCCATTTGTGAGGATGTGTGTGTTCTTTACATTGAGGTGTAATCCAGACCCAACGCTATAGTTTTTAACTTTTATCAGCGAGTGCGTCAAGTTTTCTACCTTTTTAGCAAACAAGGCTATGCCATCTGCATATCAAAGGTTATTAATGATCCTTTTATGACCCTGTTATCATATTCTTCACATGGGCCAGCTTCTCATTATTTGTTCAGTATTCAGACTGCATAAGTATGCTGAAAGGATGCAACCCTGTGGCACTTCTTTCTTGGTTTTCAACTACCCGGTATCCTTTTGGCCTATGGGAACCACTATCTCTTAGTCTATTTACATTCTATGAGATGGTTTTAAAAAGCTTGTTGGAAAAGGGATAGAAAGACAATGGAACTTTTTCCAGAGCCTTCTGAAGTCACCTCTTAAAATAAACCAAGTGGCCATGCATCTTCCCTGAACAAAGATAACTGTGGTTAAGATCTGGGTGTTTTAATCTTAAAATGATTTTTGCACTACAATACAAAGAATACTTAAACACAGATGTCTTATACATATTAACATCATGAGAATTTCCATCACTCATATCTTCAAAGACACAATTCCAATAGCTTGAATACTCAGTAACATATATGTGAATATATATATATATGTATATGAAAAGACTTCAAGGAATTTGTGGAATATGGAATTTAAGGATAGTGGGATTTTCCACAAACTTTTGTGATTCCTCTCATATATTTTATTTCACTCTTTTTCAATTGTAGAATCATGTAATATGTTATTTCAGACTTTGTTCTCATAACTCACTCTGCAATAAACTTACCAGCGTTATTCATATTCATATCTCATATCTCTTATTTGATTAATACAAACTTTTATACATGAAATTATTGGGTCTAAGACTGAAGTCCTTTTTTAAAATGTTTTTTGGCTCATCTTTCTAACTTGCCACCCAGGGCTGTTTTACAGATTCACACATTCCCCATATTTTTTAGCGATCAGAGGTCTTCTCATAAGTCTTTGTGTTCATCACTCTGAATGTCTGAAAAAGAGTATAAGTATCAGTCTCGGGTGGGACCAGAGTTATTTTGAACAGAATGAGGTGAGTTCATCAGTTACCAGCTTGGTAACTAAATCATGTAACTGAGAACATGTTCAATCCCTATTAATCAGGGAAATTGATGCAGGAAATAGATATCATTGCATTGCTAAATTTGAGAATAAATAAGGGACTTCCCCCCACCCCCCAAAAAGGTAGGATGGAGCTAGTAATAACAAAGCATCCTTACCACTCATTCTCTAAAGGAGCAAGAGAAGAGAGTCATTTCTAGAATATAGAGGTGGAGAAGGCTATGTAGAACTGCTTGAAAATTGGTTTTCCCCTTTTCTGAAGGGGTTGAACCAGCTATAGGTATAAGGAGGACTCTAAGATAATAAATACCTTGACCTTATTCTCTTTCTTTTTATCACATACTTGCATCTCATTTAGAGAACATTATGCTGAGTGAAATTAGCAAATCACAAAAGGACAACTATTATATAAGACCCCTGACAGAAAAGCAGGGGAAAAAGGAACAAGATAAAGAATCTCATGCCAAATGGATCAGATTTGGGGGATTGCTGAGTAGGGGAGACAGGAAAGGAGACATAGACAATGGGTTGGACTCTTGATGGGTGTTGACTTGGGTGAAATGCAGGATGGTAGACCATGGAACAGGGGTGGTGTCAGGGAGTGGGTGAGAGTAGATTCCTGGAGGGTCTGATGAACAGTTTGGATTATTGCATGCAAAGGTGAGGATCTGAAGTGCAAAATTCCCACCCAATAGAAATGAATGATTGATGTTTAGAAAAGCAAAGTTACTGGTGCAGTGCATACAGGTAAGCAGTAACCAGGGCATTGCTCTGGACGGAAGAAGGTAAGCTCACCTCACTGACATCGAGTCAGTTCTGACTCATCGTAGCCCTTAGGACAGTGTAGAACTGCCCCCGTGGGATTCCAGACTGCAGCTTTCCTTTTTAAACAAAATCCTTTTATTGCGGACTCATGCAACTCTGTCACAATCCATGCATACATCAATCGTGTCAAGCACATTTGTACATTCGTTGCCCTCATCATTCTCAAAATATTTGCTCTCCACTGAAGCCCTTGGTATCCTCATTTCCACCCCTCCTCCTTCCCCGCTCTCCCCTCCCTCATGAACCCTTGATAATTTATAAATTATTATTATTTTGTCATGTCTTACACTGTCCGACGTCTCCCTTCACCCACTTTTTTGTTGTCCATCCCCCAGAGAGGAGGTTATATGTAGATCCTTATAATCAGTTCCCCCTTTGTACTCCACCTTCCCTCCACCCTCTGGCATCACCACTCTCACCACTGGTCCTGAAGGGATCATCTGCTCTGGATTCCCTTTGTTTCTGGTTCCTATCTGTACCAGTATACACTCTCTAGTCTAGCCGGATTTGTAAGGTAGAACTGGGATCATGATAGTGGGGGTGTGTGTGTGGGGGAAGCATTTAAGAACTTTTTATAAGAGTAGAAAGCCTCATCTTCTCCCTCAGAGCTGCTGGTGGTTTCAAATGTCTATCCTCTTGGTTAAGTGCCCAATGTAATCCAATACGCCACCAGGGCCTAGAACTTGAACATGGAGATGCAAATAGAAGCTTTCCAGTATTGTTAGCATCTCACTACCTCAGATACATTTCTTTTATTAACACTGGTTAAACTGT